CGCGTGAGACTCAAATGTTCCTGTTTTAACTGTTGTAGTTTGTACATTCTTGTCACTTATACAGGCAATTTTATCACAATACATATATATATAACTTTATATCATCATAGTTACAGTAAAATACGTATATTACAATAGAAAACACAAGATTACTGTAGGGTTCACTGAAATATCAAACAATACATTACATAACAGTAGTGTTCACTGTAATATCAAACAGTACATTACATTACAGTAGGGTTAACTGTAATATCAAACAATACAATACATTACAGTAGGGTTCACCGTAATATCAAACAATACATTACATAACAGTAGGGTTCACCGTAATATCAAACAAAACATTACATTAAAGTAGGGTTCACTGTAATATCAAACAATACATTACATAACAGAATGGTTCACTGTAATATCAAACAATACATTATATAACAGTAGTGTTCACTGTAATATCAAACAATACAATATATTACAGTAGGGTTCACTGTTATATCATACAATACATTACATTACAGAAGGATTCACTGTAATATCATACAATACATTACATTACAGTAGGGTTCACTGTAATATCATACAATACATTACATTACAGTAGGGTTCACTTTAATATCAAACAATACAATACATTACAGTAGGATTCACCGTAATATCAAACAATACATTACATTACAGTAGGGCTCACTGTAATATCAAAAGATACATTACATAACAGCAGTGTTCACTGTAATATCGAACAATACATTACATAACAGTAGGCTTCACTGTAATATCAAACAATACATAACATTTCAGTAGGGTTCACTGTAATATCAAACAATACAATATATTACAGTAGGGTTCACTGTTATATCATACAATACATTACATTACAGAAGGATTCACTGTAATATCATACAATACATTACATTACAGTAGGGTTCACTGTAATATCATACAATACATTACATTACAGTAGGGTTCACTGTAATATCAAACAATACACTGTAATATCAAACAATACATTACATTACAGTAGGGTTCACTGTAATATCAAAAGATACATTACATAACAGTAGTGTTCACTGTAATATCGAACAATACATTACATAACAGTAGGGTTCACTGTAATATCAAACAATACATAACATTTCAGTAGGGTTCACTGTAATATCAAACAATACAATATATTACAGTAGGGTTCACTGTTATATCATACAATACATTACATTACAGAAGGATTCACTGTAATATCATACAATACATTACATTACAGTAGGGTTCACTTTAATATCAAACAATACATTACATAACAGTAGGGTTCACTGTAATATCAAACAATACATTACATTACAGAAGGGTTCACTGTAATATCATATAATACATTGCAATACAGTAGGGTTCACTGTAATATCAAACAATAAATTATATTACAATAGGGTTTACTGTAATATCAAACAATACATTACATTAACGTAAGGTTCTCTGTTATATCATACAATACATTTGATTACAGTAGGGTTCACTGTAATATCATACAATACATTACATTACAGTAGGGTTCACTGTAATATCAAACAATATATTACATAACAGAAGGGTTCACTGTAATATCATACAATACATTACATTACAGTTGTGTTCACTGTCATATCAAACAATACATTACATTACAGTAGGGTTCACTGTAATATCATACGATACATTACATTACAGTAGGGTTCACTGTAATATCAAAAAATACATTACATAACAGTAGGGTTCACTGTAATATCAAACAATACATCACATTAAAGTAGGGTTCACTGTAATATCATACAATAAATTACATTACAGTAGGGTTCACTGTTATATCAAACAATACATTACATTACAGTAGGGTTCACTTTAATATCAAACAATACATTACATTACAGTAGGGTTCACTTTAATATCAAACAATACATTACATTACAGTAGGGCTCACTGTAATATCAAACAATACATTACATTACATTAGGGTTCACTGTAATATCAAACAACACATTACATTAAAGTAGGGTTCACTGTAATATCATACAATAAATTACATTACAGTAGGGTTCACTGTTATATCAAACAATACATTACATTACAGTAGGGTTCACTGTAATATCATACAATACATTACATTACAGTAGGGTTCACTGTTATATTATACAATACATTTGGTACAATGTTACATGTATATAGTGCAGTGAAATACCATATTGTAATTCTTATAACGCTTTTTATAGACAGGTGGTCTTTTTGAGGCAGTGATTTTATTCTTTTGTTTTACAAATTTACATTTAAAATAGAGGGGTATGTCATTTTTTTAATGAATTCCCGATATAACGTCTCAAAACATTTGTTTTCGTCCGTATTTGAAAGTTTCGTCTTACTCAGACTTCATTTACTGGATAACCATTAGAACTGAGAGACGGATTGTAACCCTATAGAAAACCCCGCTTTTAAACAGATTTCCAATTTGTGATGCATATCTCTGATTTGATTATTTTTTATAGGAAATATTTTACTCTGTAAAATGAAAATATTGCTCCCAGTAGTTTCAGAGCCTGGATGTGACAGAGCGATCTCCTTTACTACAGTTTGGCAAAGTGACCCTCCTGTGAAACGAACTTTTCTGTCCGGCTTATGTGCCCAGCCTCTTTAATTTCTGTTCGAGTTCACGATGGGACCTGGAACGTCCAGAATATACCCGATGTGTTCCGCATTAAGTCGAAAACCTACAGTAAGCTAACCTAACTTACAAATCACATTTATTGTAATTATTGCTTGTTTTGTTCTTATTCTGTTTCGTTTCATTCATGTTTTTGTCGTTAATTTGTTCGTTTGTTTTGTTATGGCCTTACAACAGCTAAGGTCACGTGACGACAGGTGCCTAAGCCTTAAGAACGAGTTTTGATTGATTGATTGGTTTTACGTCCACTTCACTACCGAGTAGTTCGGTTATGCAGTAGACGAAGAAAAGACAAGAAAATGAGTAGAAGGGATGAAGAAAAGAACGTGTTTAATTTATGACAGTTAAATACATGTACGTTTCAGGAAAATTATGAGATATCAAAAGTGACGTATGTCACTGACAGCCCGTGGTCAGTACCCACCAGGTAGGGCTATTATACAAACCTTGTTACGTAATATAAGTTATGTTCAATACGATTGACAACGTGAAATAATAATTATCTCATATGACACAGAGGATAATGGCAAACATTGTACAATAAATGACACAGAGGATAATGGCAAACATTGTACAATAACTGACAGAGAGGATAAAGACTAACGCTAGCGTAACGTGTAATAGCCAAATCCTGTTGAAATGTCTTATAAACTTGTTTTGTAAAACAGTCAAACTTCAGTTACTGAGTATGAAGATAACTCCATAGGTTTTTTTTACAGTTAATTCAGAGATGTATAAAACAGTATAGTATATCCTTCTCTATTTAATTTAAACTTTTTTTTTTTTTTTTTTTTTTTTAAATCATAAATTGATTTTATTGTTTTGAAATTTATTAATTCAACGTATTTATTGCTTTTCCAATGTGATTGGAACATTGCACATCTATTACTGGGCGTGGCCATGATACGTCATGTTCTCCTGTAGTTGTTAGAAAGTAAACGGCCGAAGTGTAAATATTGCTTATATTGTATACTATATATTATATACGGAGAATTACGTACATGAACAAATATATACTCTTTGTGTAATCGAACTAAATTCAAATTAAACACGACCAAGTGTACGACTAGCGACTTCTGTTTGATTTATTGATAGTCGAAGAGCACTCGGGGATAAGTAAGGTGGGATATCGACCGGTAAGACTACGGTAGTATACGCTATATACATTTGTACAATATTTGGTGAGTTGAGAGTCTCGGCTTGCTTAATTACCTGGTGTTAAACTACACGTTTCTAAATGACTTGAACCACTCATAACACTATATAAGTCAGATATATGAAGTGCACAACCGCTTGTTCGAATGTTCAGTTTCAGTTTCGTTTTCTCGTTAGTTCGAATTTTCATTTTCTGTTTTTCGTTTTCACGTTAGTACGAATTTTCATTTTCAGTTTTTCGTTTTCTCGTTAGTACGAATTTTCATTTTCAGTTTTTCGTTTTCTCGTTAGTACGAATTTTCATTTTCTGTTTTTGGTTTTCTCGTTAATCCAAATATGAGCGGACAGTTCTTGTTGACTCGCTAGCTGCTGTATGTGCTTCGTGGGATAATTTTAACTTCAATAAAATTTGATATGGAATATAATGAAAAATTTGAATCATAGTGAGACATTTAACATGGTATGTCACTGTCACTGACTCGTCAATAGAACTTAGAAACGTCCCGCTAAATTAAACACATGCAAACAGTCTGAAGTAATGATATGAAATGAAAAATGGCGAATTATAATAAATGTGCAGATGCATCAATCGATGATTTAGAGGTAATATGAACAGTTTGATAAGAAAAAGGGTTATCATTTAAAGCGTTTTCAATTTACTTTTAGGAAAACAATAACGCGTTACACTTTGCAAATTATCTTCTTTTTTTTTTTACAAAAACGCCACGTATCAGTCCGCCGTATGTATCGTTTGCTTATAGTAAGTCAATAGTAAAAACTACTAGTATGGAAATTACTTGGCGTTTTAAAGTGGGATTAAATACCAGTTTTGTCAGGTAAAAATTCTCGTGTTTAGGTCAGGTATAGGCGAGTTTATTGATCAGTTTTCAGTGGGAACTGGCGGGCCTGTATTGTCAAGATCAGACACAACAGACTCCCAACATGTATACCGAAACTAAAAAAAAACAAAACACAACACGTCGAACTAGCACAGAACAGTCGGCATTGGTCGACAAATAAATGGCTCAGACAAAGATTTAAATGTGACGAACGCTAATTTTTAAGCCAGCCTTTCATGTGTTCATATATATATAGGTATGTCGTTAGTCTTTTGAAACATATTAACAGACCACACCATATTTTGCAGTAGGCATTGATTAGCTGGCAGAGTCTACCCCGGGCCGAGGTATTGTTGTACAGGTGCTGACGTCATACTTGAAGGGATAAGGTTGCCCCCTGCGACTTCACACCGTCAGATATTTATTGGAACCCAGCCGGCGGTGTCAGGAGTGAGTGGGTATGCGTATATATACACACATATATATACATGATGTAAGCGATACGGCATACAATATACCTCCAATAATACACACACACACACGCGTACCCCCACCTGACGAATAAGTATGTGGTTGTACGTACGGACTAGGTGACCGACTTAGTACTACAATCTGTTAAAACAAACATCGGAACTGACGGCTACACAACACACGTGCATAACACCGACTTGGGGACTGCACAGACGGACGTTCTGTTTTTTATCTCTTGATAACAGAACCCCAACAAAACCGTTGTGCAAGGTGTAACCAATGCTGAGGACGTCGGTATCGTGCGCCTCGAGGATTTTTATCACAAATACATTGCTCAACAGATAACTGTGTTTTGTCGGAGTTGTGAATTGCAAAGACTTGTTTTCAAAGTGGTGCACGTGCCCTTGAATTTGAGCCGGAGGTTACAAACACAATCTTGACGACATTTGTAAAGACTGTACCGTGCTATTTCTATATTTGAAATTGCAGCGTGTTTGAACTTCGGAGGTAATTTCCAGGAGTATTCAGTTCAGTGGGATGGTTCGAGTAACGTGCTGCACATTGGGTGTACACACGGTCTAACTGTGGCTTCCCTTGGCGACCTTGAAAGACTTTTTGGTCGCGAATTAGAAAGTCTAAATATCAGTGCTACGGACCGAACTCTGCCTGCATTGGACACTTCCAAGGATTGGATTATCTCCCCTAGTACCTCTCCCCACCACATGGCTAACTCTCACTTTACGATCTCCCCCCGGGACGCGGGTCGTCTGGTGCAGTCTCACCGGAAGTCAGAGGACGAACAACATTGTTTTTTACTCCAAATCTCATTCCAAACTGTGTATAGTGATGCGGATATTCCAAATAGTGTCATCAAAAAACTCCCCCGTCTGGTGAACGGTATTCCCCTTGGGGCCGGGCTCATGGCCCGGGATCAGATGGGCAGTATACGTTGGCGTTATATCGAAGGTGGACGAAAGATGCATACCTTTGTTTCAAAACCAATTTGTCAAGAGGAGGCAGAGGAAACTAAACGGGCTCTAAAAGACAGACTTGTAAAACAGTCCCATGCGATTTTTGGTGACATTACGGTAAAAGCTACCGTAATTCTATCTCAGTGTTTGAACTTCGACGACGATTTCATTATCAATGATATAGCTATACCCCTGGACGAGGGCTTACATTTTAGAGATTAGGCGTGTTCTTATCTTTATACATTATCTGTAAATCTAGGGTTGTCACATTGTTTTCCATCCATATTGTGTTAAGTTGATGTAGAAACAGTTTGAGTGATTGCTAGTCATTTGATATTTGCTTAAATCTCAAAGAAAAACTGAAACAGTAGTTGTGTGTTTCCAACGTTTATGTCGAATTAAGAAGATGTCTGTGGTTGCACATATGTGTGTGTGTGTCACTGTGTGTACGAGTATGTAGGAGAAACTGTTTGTGTACGAGTATGTAGGAGTAACTGTTTGTACACGTGTATGTAGGAGCAACTGTTTGTACACGTGTATGTAGGAGGAACTGTTTGTACACGTGTATGTAGGAGTAACTGGTTGTACACGTGTATGTAGGAGTAACTGTTTGTACACGTGTATGTAGGAGTAACTGTTTGTACACCTGTATGTAGGAGTAACTGTTTGTACACGTGTATGTTTGTGTAACTGTTTGTACACGTGTATGTAGGAGTAACTGTTTGTACACCTGTATGTAGGAGTAACTGTTTGTACACGTGTATGTAGGAGGAACTGTTTGTACACGTGTATGTAGGAGTAACTGTTTGTACACGTGTGTGTAGGAGTAACTGTTTGTACACGTGTATGTTTGTGTAACTGTTTGTACACGTGTATGTAGGAGTAACTGTTTGTACACGTGCATGTAGGAGTAACTGTTTGTACACGTGTATGTAGGAGGAACTGTTTGTACACGTGTATGTAGGAGTAACTGTTTGTGTACGAGTATGCAGGAGTAACTGTGTGTGTACGAGTATGTAGGAGTAACTGTGTGTGTACGAGTATGTAGGTGTAACTGTTTGTGTACGAGTATGTAGGAGTAACTGTTTGTACACGTGTATGTAGGAGTAACTGTTTGTACACGTGTATGTTTTGGCGGTTATGAGGATACCAGTAATATATAATAAGCTTGCTGCTGTGTCACGAGAGGGGTGAGAATTTGTCCGATATGAGGTTAGGTGCGTGGGAGACTGTTTAGTAGAAACTTTATGTACAAATGCGCGTGTACGCGTATGTTTGTAAACGGGCGAACGTGCTCAGTAAGAGAAACAGATTTACACGTCTTTGCACGTGCTGGTAAATATATATATATATCTCGCACTCTTGATTTTGAGAGAGGGCAAGTATGTCCGGTAGGGGGCGTATGTAAACACTTGTGTGCGCTGTGCGATATCGTTAATTAGGGAGTGTAGGTTTACACGACGCGTGCGCGTTTGAAACTATGTCAGGCAAGGTTAATTGGCTGTTTCTACACAAACTTATACCACGTATTATGTTCCTTCATCTACCATTGTCTTTCATGGATCCTTGTATCTGACGTTAAGCATTGTTGTTTATTAAGCGTGATTACTATTTATTGATTATAAACTGGCGTGTGTTGGTATGTTTGTAATTAGCGTTAATACACGTGCGTATGGCACACAAACTAAGTGATGCGTCTGTATTCTTTTATGGTGTAAACAATCGGGCTACGTTATAAGTATATTCGGGACTAAAATTACAGGGAGTGCTGTTATACGATCCATATACCTCCCTAACTACCAAGCTAGATTGTTATTATTATCATGCATGCATAGATACAATCGGGAACCGTCGACACATTCCGTAAATGGTTAAGGAAAGTACGGACGGTTCCCGATTGTGCACAATTTTTTGTGACAACATCGACTTCGCTGTACTGCAGCTTAATGCACGTGGTACATTGTATGTATACGTTTCTATATTCAAAGCTACATAAATCGTTTAAACAATCGAAGTCATTGATCGTTAATTTTATCGATTAACACTCTCGCAATATACCCATGTATCTGTAATATATTTATATATGTTACACAAATGTATATCCTGTTCTTCAGAGTGTTATAAAATACGTCATTACCATAACATCCAACACAATCTTACGTTATAGGTATGTGTAGACATGATGTACATGTATATATTTACACTCATACTAACTCATTTAAACCAGGGACACGTTAAATCTTTAATGTGATGTAAATATAATTCTGTATGTATAAACTGTTCTATTATAACTTGTAAGTGACGATACGATCGGAGGGTAAATCACGTACACCTAGCAAGAAATACAAACACAAGAGTAATATGAGGTACAGTTATGTATTATCTTTGGGTGTAAACTGGGACATATATCCTGTAGGTGTGATAATAGATGTATAACCTGTAGGTGTGATAATGGATATATATATCCTGTAGGTGAGATAATAGATATATAATCTGTACGTGTGATAATGGATATATAATCTGCAGGTGTGATAATGGATGTATACTCTGTAGGTGTGATAAGGGATATATAATCTGTAGGGGTGATAATGGACATATAATCTGTAGGTGTGAGAATGGATGTTTAACCTGTAGGAGTGATAATGGATATATAAACTGTAGGTGTGATAATGGACATATAATCTGTAGGTGTGATAACGGATGTATAACCTGTAGGTGTGATATTGGATATATATATCCTGTAGGTGTGATAATGGATATATAATCTGTAGGTGTGATAATGGATGTTTAACCTGTAGGTGTGATAATGGATATATATATCCTGTAGGTGTGATACTAGATATATAAACTGTAGATGTGATAATGGATATATAATCTGTAGGTGTGATAATGGATGTATAACCTGTAGGTGTGATAATGGATATATAATCTGTAGGTGTGATAATGGATGTATAACCTGTAGGTGTGATAATAGATGTATAGCCTGTAGGTGTGATAATGGATATATATATCCTGTAGGTGTGATAATAGATATATAATCTGTAGGTGTGATAATGGATATATAATCTGTAGGTGTGATAATGGATGTATAACCTGTAGGTGTGATAATGGATATATAATCTGTAGGTGTGATAATGGATGTATAACCTGTAGGTGTGATAATGGATATATAATCTGTAGGTGTGATAATGGATGTATAACCTGTAGGTGTGATAATGGATATATAATCTGTAGGTGTGATAATGGATGTATAACCTGTAGGTGTGATAATGGATATATAATCTGTAGGTGTGATAATGGATGTATAACCTGTAGGTGTGATAATGGATATATAATCTGTAGGTGTGATAATGGATGTATAACCTGTAGGTGTGATAATGGATATATAATCTGTAGGTGTGATAATGGATGTATAACCTGTAGGTGTGATAATGGATATATAATCTGTAGGTGTGATAATGGATGTATAACCTGTAGGTGTGATAATGGATATATAATCTGTAGGTGTGATAATGGATGTATAACCTGTAGGTGTGATAATGGATATATAATCTGTAGGTGTGATAATGGATGTATAACCTGTAGGTGTGATAATGGATATATAATCTGTAGGTGTGATAATGGATGTATAACCTGTAGGTGTGATAATGGATATATAATCTGTAGGTGTGATAATGGATGTATAACCTGTAGGTGTGATAATGGATATATAATCTGTAGGTGTGATAATGGATGTATAACCTGTAGGTGTGATAATGGATATATAATCTGTAGGTGTGATAATGGATGTATAACCTGTAGGTGTGATAATGGATATATAATCTGTAGGTGTGATAATGGATGTATAACCTGTAGGTGTGATAATGGATATATAATCTGTAGGTGTGATAATGGATGTATAACCTGTAGGTGTGATAATGGATATATAATCTGTAGGTGTGATAATGGATGTATAACCTGTAGGTGTGATAATGGATATATAATCTGTAGGTGTGATAATGGATGTATAACCTGTAGGTGTGATAATGGATATATAATCTGTAGGTGTGATAATGGATGTATAACCTGTAGGTGTGATAATGGATATATAATCTGTAGGTGTGATAATGGATGTATAACCTGTAGGTGTGATAATGGATATATAATCTGTAGGTGTGATAATGGATGTATAACCTGTAGGTGTGATAATGGATATATAATCTGTAGGTGTGATAATGGATGTATAACCTGTAGGTGTGATAATGGATATATAATCTGTAGGTGTGATAATGGATGTATAACCTGTAGGTGTGATAATGGATATATAATCTGTAGGTGTGATAATGGATGTATAACCTGTAGGTGTGATAATGGATATATAATCTGTAGGTGTGATAATGGATGTATAACCTGTAGGTGTGATAATGGATATTTAATCTGTAGGTGTGATAATGGATGTATAACCTGTAGGTGTGATAATGGATATATAATCTGTAGGTGTGATAATGGATGTATAACCTGTAGGTGTGATAATGGATATTTAATCTGTAGGTGTGATAATGGATGTATAACCTGTAGGTGTGATAATGGATGTATAATCTGTAGGTGTGATAATGGATGTATAACCTGTAGGTGTGATAATGGATATATAACCTGTAGGTGTGATAATGGATGTATAACCTGTATGTGTGATAATGGATATATATCCTGTAGGTGTGATAATGGATATATATCCTGTAGGTTTGATAATGGATATATATCCTGTAGGTGTGATAATAGATATATATCCTGTAGGTGTGATAATGGATAGATATCCTGTAGGTTTGATACTGGATATATATCCTGTAGGTTTGATAATGGATATATATATCCTGTAGGTGTGATACTAGATATATAAACTGTAGATGTGATAATGGATATATAACCTGGAGGTGTGATAATGGATATATAGTCTGTAGGTGTGATAATGGACATATATCCTGTAGGTGTAATAATGGATATATATCCTGAAGGGTTGATAATGGATATATATCCTGTACGTGTGATAATGGATATATATATCCTGTAGGTGTCATAATGGATATATATCCTGTAAGTGTGATAATGGATATATATATATCCTGTAGGTGTAATAATAGATGTATAACCTGTAGGTGCGATAATGGATATATAACCTGGAGGTGTGATAATGGATATATAGCCTGTAGGTGTGATAATGGGTGTATAATCTGTAGGTGTGATGATGGATGTATAGCCTGTAGGTGTGATAATGGGTATATATCCTGTAGGTTTGATAATGGATATATATCCTTTAGGTGTGATAATGGATATACAATCTGTAGGTGTGATAATGGACATATATCCTGTAGGTTTGATACTGGATATATATCCTGTAGGCTTGATAATGGATATATATCCTGTAAGTGTGATAATGGATATATAGTCTGTAGGTGTGATAATGGAGTATAACCTGTAGGTGTGATAATGTATGTTTAACCTGTAGGTGTGATAATCGATATATAATCTGTAGGTGTCATAATGGATGTATAACCTGCAGGTGTGAAACTGGATATATAATCTGTAGGCGTGATAATGGATATATATCATGTAGGTGTAATAATGGATATATATCCTGTAAGTGTGATAATGGATATATATCCTTTAGGTGTGATAATGGATATACAATCTGTAGGTGTGATAATAGATATATAATCTGTAGGTGTCATAATGGATATATATCCTGAAGGGTTGATAATGGATATATATCCTTTAGGTGTGATAATGGATATACAATCTGTAGGTGTGATAATAGATATATAACCTGTAGCTGTGATAATGGATGTATAACCTGCAGGTGTGAAAC